TAATAAAGAAAGAAACCACATAAAATCAAACATATATATGTATCTTCATGGTCTTTTAGCCATGGTAGTGACCAAGAAATTCAAGAAAAAGTAAATACAGATGTGTATAAATCTAATGATGTAAATTTCTTTTGCCTCTTTTTTCCTCAAATTCCAAACCAACCTAGTAGTTATCTAGGACTACTACTTGGCTTATCATCAGAAATACTTTAGGAGCATTCTGCTTCTGCTGTGTGCAGTTCACTGGAGTTAAGTGACTTGAAGAGAAGAATGCCTTTAAGCCACAATGTGCTCAGACCTTGCTCCTGATCCTCACATAGTTAGGAGTGGAAAGGCTGTCTGCGAGTGGGTTTGGCAGATGGACTATTTGAAGAGGGCAGACGTGGGTTAGGGGTCAGGTGTATCAGAGAGTCAAAAGGCAGCACGAGAGCAGTGAACACCTAGAGGCAAAAAATGAAGTGGATAGAAGCTCAACACTGCTTCTTTAGTTTTTGCCCAAGCCCCCTCTATCTGCTACTGAAAATTCTTTTCTGTGCGGCATGTGGAATTTTCCAAATGTGTTTTCAGATAGTTGGAAAGGGGTAAAAGCCAAGTGCTTTAAAAAGCATATGGAGCTCATCATTTGATTTCAACATCTATTTAGAAAAAGTACTTGTATTCCGCCCCCCCTCCCCATTGTGGTCAATTTAATAAGCCCCATTTTTTTTGAATCCCCCAGTGCCTAATTGCTCATATTTCTTCCTTAAAGCTACGTTCTGGTTTAGGATTTTTGTTGTCGTTTAAGTCTCTGAAGCACTCTAGGAGCCCTTGCTTTGGCTTTGTTTTTTGGAAGCAAAGGAAAAATGATCTCCTGGTTTACTTTTGGAATCTGCAAAGCAACTTTGAGGTCCCAGGTGGGTTTAGTGTTTGGAAAGGGGAATTTGGGGGACTAAGGTTGACCCTGAGCCCCCAGATCACTGTTCACATTTACAAAAGCAGACCTGGTATCCCCAGTTGCTTTTCTCTTGAGGTTGGCTTAACTTTATTTATCTTCTGCCTTGGGTCACTGCCCCTGAGGTGCTTCAAAAGCAAAACCCGAAGACCCAAAACAAAGAAAGCTAAACCAGATTCAAGGGAAAATGACCTAGCACTCTGGGTTCACTTTTACAAAGGCAAAAAGAGTTCCATAGAATGGTTTTAAGTCGGGCTAGATTCATTGTGTCGTTTGCACAAAGTGATCTCAACAGGTCTGAGACCCCAAGTTTCTTGGGTGTAGATTTGGAGTGCAATTTAGGATGGGAAACGTCAGCAGGCTAAATGCTTTGACACAGACTAACTCTTCAGTGATTCTAAAGTGATTCTCAACTATATTGAGCATATAAATAGACCACCCATGTAACCATTTCTTTTCTTAAGCCGAATCTTTTTGTTTGCTGGACATACTGTAGGAATCACTGAGGAAGTGAAACGTACAACTCACTTTAAAAAGTTGGCATAAATCCACCTTATATTATCAGATTAGTTATGAAGGGCATTTTTGAATCCTTGGTAAAAAAAAAAGTTAGGTTACTAATTTTAGGTAATCTTATAAATCATGATGAAATAGAACTGAGGCATGTTATTTTGCTATTCATTTTTGTATGATCCATACTTTGCTTACTTCCCCAAAGGATTTAAGATGGAATTACTTTACTTGACTATTGGAACAAACCCATTTTTAGAACCTAATACCAATTTTTGTTATAATATACCTGACTTTATCCTTTAATAAGTAATTGTAAAACTGCTTGTGGATAATCTAGGGGAGATTTTTGTTTTTGTTCATGTTTGATCTACATCTCTGAATTTCAGTTATATATGTTAACTAATAAATTCACCTGTTGAGACCATGTCTCACAGTTTATTTACAAGACTGAGGGAGATTTTTTGTGATTAATAACAAATGTATTATTTGTGTACTGCCATCTGAAGGAAGCAAAACTTGAAACAGAGAAGTGAAGTTTTCCATAAGGACAGAATACATCCTGTGAAACCACAATGAATGTGAGAGGCATTCCCAAGGCAGTGACTGTGTGGAGTGAAGAAGTCGATGGCACCACTCCAGTTTCCTCATCCCTTCCTGTCACACTGTGGCTCCAGAGCAGTCATGTTTTTAAACCATCCCAGAAACCTGGCCTCCTGCTTCTTGGTCAAAAGAGGCACAGGTAGCAGCTTGTAGAAATGGACTCAGTCCATGAACCTGGCCCGGCATAATGTTAGGTAGGACCCAAGAATAATGCCCTAGTTTTGTGTTACATCTTTCATCTCAAAAGAACTGTATTTTAAAAAGTGAAAAAGGACCTTATAATTGTTATGGATATAGTCCATTTCTATAGTCCGTTCAGAAAAAGCAGTGCTTTTTTCTAAAGTTAATTTACCTTAACAGTAGACCCAATGCCTTCTAATGAGGAAATCTATCCTCTATACCAAGCCCCTGATGTCAATAGCCGACTCACTGGAAAAGACCCTGATGCTGGCAAAGATTGAAGGCAGGAGAAGGGATGACAGAGGATGAGTTGGTTGGATGGCATCACCAACTCAATGGACTTGAGTTTGAGCAAGTTCTGGGAGATGGTGGACAGGGAAACCTGCTTACTTGCAGTCCATGGGGTCACAGAGTCAAACACAACTTAGTGACTGAACAACAACAGATGGACAGTTAGGTTAAATTTTGTGCTTCCTGTAATTTCTAAAGAAATTTCTAGCTATGACTTTGCAAATGAGTATCTGACCTTGTGAGAAAAGAACATAGTATTTCTTTATCTAGGAAAGTCTATTTTTTGCTGTAAAAGAACCACTTCTGTACTCACAGTTGGAGTTGGTGTAGGTTTTATATTCATTAAATGGGCTCCTCCTTTCTCACCTGGGGGTAGATCAACCCTTATTTTAAACCCTTTTCCTCTTCCAAATCCCAAAGGTCATGTTGCTGTTGCCTTTCGAAAAGAAAGGGAATTTGCAGCCAGTACATTAAGTGGTTACTTTCTGCTGACTGTGCGCATGCCCACACACACTTGAGCAAACACAAATGCATACCTGAAAGAGGACTCCTTCAAAATGAGGCTTTTAACAACTGTGTGAGGGGAATTCATTATTGGAATTTATTGGGGGGAAAAAAAGTATGTATGTAAACCTTATGAAAATAAAGACAATCACATTACCCATAATCCCACCATACAAATTACAGCTATTCTTAACATTTTCTCAAATTTTATTCCAGTCTCTTTTGATGGGTTTTTATGTGATTTTATTAGTAGTGTTTATCATAAGCTTCTTCCCAAGTTATTTAAAATTCTGTGTAAGCATTGATTTGAATAACCTCCCTATACATAGATAGATATCTCACAATTTCACCCTTCTGTTAACATTTGAGATTTAACGTGTTTTTAGTGTTTTTTTTCTTCTTTAATTTTTGATAACACAAATAACATTTTTGAGATTAACATATTTGTTAATAAAATTTTATCTACCTTTATTATTGTTCACTGAAGTTAGATTCCTAGAAGTAGGATTAAGAATCAAAGGGAATAGCCATTTTTTCTAAGGTTCTTAAATACATAATGCAAATTCACATTCTTCAGAAGTTATATTAATTTATATTTTCATTGCAGAGTGTAGAAAGTAAATTTTCCTCCTTGTGAAAGAAGGGGAAACTGTTGCTTTAGCAAGAGTAAAGAATTACACAGAACTTGGAGTACTTCCCTTTTCTTTTTCAGTGTATTCTTTTAACATTGTCTCTGTGCAGTTTCTGTACCAGTGACTTAACTTTTGGTATGGCCTAGAATGTTGTCTGAAAGAAAAAATAGCGTGGCTTTTAATTTTAGTAGCAAACATTTTCATTATAGAATTTTCTTCTTTGTACAAGAAAGTCTCTAATTAGTGGAGTGGGGAAGAGTCAAACAGATCCATTGTCTTCCTAAGGAAGAGCTAGTTTCTTGTAACTTTTCTCTAGTTTTTAACCACCCCAGAAGTTTTATGTCTCTCAGAGTCAGTGGATTTGCTCACTTGTTCCAAGAGTAAATAAAAATACTTCATTTGAAAGCAAAACCAATACACCCCTTACTTGTAAAGTGGGCTAAAACAAAAAGAAAAAATAATACAAAAACTGAAGGAAGGTAGTAAGTAAAGCATTTAGCTTTCTGAAACAGTTTAGATGGGGATAGGAAGTTGGTCTTAAACGGCTTAAAGGGGATTAGGGTTTTAAAGTTGGATAAGGAGTTTGGTGCTTTGGTTTATGCATGGCATTGCTTTTAAAAGATTACTTCTATATTTGACAACAATTCTAACTGGAGATTATAAAGCAAATAGTCAATTTTAAAACACTGTGGAAAACAAGAGGGTTTCCTTTTTGTTGTTGTTTGTTTATACAAAATGATTGCCTAGAGTTAACAAGCTGAGTCCTGAAGGCCTCATTTCATAACACTACTGAGGATCTATCACCAGGGAGAATCCAGCAGAGGTTGTTTAATGCACTTCATTGAGATTATCTGAGCTTTTAGGTTTAAATTACTTTGGGAAAGTCTAGGTGTAAACGACTTCTTTGAAAGATAAACATACTTAACCTCTTAAAAAAAAAAAAGGTTCAATTTAAATTCTTTAAAATTTTTCAGTTAGCAGCAACCTTTACTAGTTAAATCTGAGTATGAACCAAATAATGTGTAAAGATTAAATCTCTATACATCAGAACAAGTGTTAATGTAATTATATAATAGTGTTTTCATTATTTTACAATTATTTGAAAATGCAATGAAGTACTTTATTAGAAAGGCAAGCCCTGACAATTTTAGTTATTTCAAAAGCAAAAAGATACCATATACTACGTTGGTTCTAAAGTGTAGTTAATGAAGTTTAAAAAATAGGTTGGTTATTCTCTTCCATCTGAGAAACAGGTTATAGTCAAATGGATCAAGAGTAGCATATACTTTATGTATTGTCCGTGGATAAATAGTCAAAAATTGCTTTGACGTTTTCCCCATCTTCCTCAGCTCCTCGACCTGTTTATGGTTTGGGATTGGTCTACTTACCTAGCTGATTATGGTCAGCCAGCGTCTAAGTACCTTCGGGTGAATCCAAACACAGCCCTTACTCTTTTGGAGAAGTGAGTATATTCTGAAAGCTTCGCATATCATTTTAGCAGCTTGTAATTCAGTGATAATTGAAGAACTGGAAATTTTTAATCAAAAGAGAAATGTCTACATGGAGCTTAAAATTTCAGTTCATTTTAATGATTAAAATATAAGCCACCTTCTTTCTTGCCTTCAGTGTCAGTATAGTTTTTTATGAGATTTCTGTTTGTGTTGATATGAACTAAACGTTTTTCCTATTGTGTCCTCAATATCTGACTTAATTAGCTTTAGAAATATGTTTACTGGAGATAAGTGAGATTGGAACTTAAAATATATATATATACTGTAATACAGGAAAGAAGGTATTTCCTAAAACGTAGATTGGGACTGGAATCAGTTTGCCATCAGTGCTATCTAAAGCCTACCATGATGGGCTTGGATTCCTTACAGGTAAAGAAGTATGCCTTTTGAAAAAATATTATAAAATCTGAAGTAACAGAACACTTACTGGTGCATTTTGTCCAAAAAACAAGTGTTGGTGTTACTTTTCCTTCTCATTATGCAGCATGTTTTCTTTTCTCTGTATCATATTTCAGATATCACTGTTAAAAATTTCAGTTTTTGCATTGAAAGTATGTATTATTTTCCCACATTTCAAAATATCTGGTGTATTTGATTTGAGAAGGACACAAGGAACTGTTTTAAATAAGTTGTTTTACAGTGCCATGAAACACCACTGAGGCAAAAAAAATTACTGCTTTAAATTTTCTATTGTTATTTTTCCTTTCACCTTGTCTTGGTATGAGTGTGATTTGCAGATTCTGTAGAGGGTGTGTATTTTAGCATACTTTATGGAATGATGTTAGAAAATAGTATCATGTAAGAAAACATGCTTTTAGATTTATATAGTAATTCAAAAACGCCATTTCATATAGAATGCAAAATAAAGCTGCCAATATTTTCTGTGGTTGCTATCTCTGTAACTCTATTAGTAATAACTATTTTCTTTGAAGTATATTTTTCAAGCATAGATTTAGTGTGAGATAACCCAGAGCATGCCAGGATATTTTAGTTGTTACAGTATAACTTTTAAATTCCTTTTATTAAGCTTCTTCATTCACATATATTCCTAGGATGAAGGATACTAGCAAAAAGAACAATATATTTGCTCAATTCAGGAAGAATGATCGAGACAAACAGAAGTTGATAGAGACAGTTGTGAAACAGCTGAGAAGTTTGGTGAATGGTATGTCTCAACACACATAGCCTTCACATCGCTTGCACTCAGTGATGCCAAATCTGTGACTCACTGTTGATCTCTAACGGGCACTGGTCATGATACAGAAAATTGTTTGCAGAATTAAAAAATACAATAGAGAAAAGACACTTGATGAGAGCTTAGAAACAAGAAAGAATTATAAATATCATTTGTATCGATTTTTAAATAATTGAATACTATTTTATATATGGAAAATGTGACAATTTTTTTCACTTCTAGGGAAAAAAGGCAAAACTGTAATATATAAATCAGGTCAAAAATTGTACATGAAACTGATTGTGTAAATACATTAGAAGAACTTATGCCTCTATAGGTGTTTTTTCTATTTAGACTTCAATGATTGTTCTGGTTGTTTTTTTTTCTTCCCAGTATCTGGTTTTGGAATGCAATCATGTATGACATTTCCCTGACATTTTCTGACTTTTAGCTTTAATTTTCACCTCACTAGTACTAAATTGTCTAATTCTGCTGATTTTTAGGGAGGAAATAGACAAATATGTAAAGGAACCTGAAATTGAACTTAACCCAATAAGAATGTGAATTACTTGTTCTACTTGGGTGGTTTAATCTGAATATGAAGAAAAGGTATTTGGATTTTCTGAAGATGCAGTGTTGTTTCTGTTCAGCAGGGTTAATATTTCTAACTATATTGTTTGTAGCTGACCCCATTTATTTGGTTTGGTTTGGTTCAAGTTAGGAGGACAGAAACTAAGTGGGGCTAACCACTTCAGGTGCCACTTGTGCTAGGAGGGACATACTCCTGCACATAGAAGTTACCGCAGGGGTCAGGTTACTTTCTTCAAGGCGCAGACCTCAGTGCTGGATCCTTATTGTGGAAACAAGCCAAACCAAAATGAACTCTGGAAAACCTAAAACGAATGTACCTTTTACTCTGTGTAAATGACTGTGGTCCAAAGGGTAATATCAATCTGATCCTTACTTTGTCTTCTTTGTATTTATGCTGAATAATCCTTTTGCATTTTCAGAATTTATGCCTGTGAGAAACTTATATTTGCTCTGTAAAATAAGTGTAAAGAATTATATGTGCATTTCTTGATTTTGTGATTAAATATTAAAAAGGTTGAGCAAGTTGCTGAAAATTCATTGCTGTTGCATCTGTTTAGAGTTTCCTGATTTAAAACAACTGCTTTCTTCAGAAAGGCTGTTATTTAGTTACTGGAATGGGAGTATCGCCAGAACAAAGAAAACAAGCATTTATTCTCTTAACGGTCTCTAATCCTCAAGTACTTAACGTTTTAAAAAAATATTATATGGAAAGCATGGTTACTTCTAGGTACAATACAGTACAATCTGGAAGTTACTAAAGACGGCGAGCTGCTAGTTCTCTTTGGGGACTGGAAAGCGGTGGCCCTCGAGTGCCGTAGCCTGCCCTCCAGGGTACTTGGGAAGTCTCCCCGGCTTGGGCTGAGGCGTCCGGATTCAGAGAGACGCCGCCTTTGCACTGTTGGGAGCAGAGCACTGTGCCTTCGCGGCGGCGATGGTCTTGAGTTTACTTTTCTCAGGGATACAAGCACCCGGCAATCCCCACCATCACCCCGCCCGCAACACACACACCCCTCGGGTTGAGCTGTAGTGACTAGGACGCCCGAGTCCTGGGCATTTAGGGCCCCACAAAAAGCCTGAAAAGCAACTGTATAGCCTGATGAGATGGAAGGATACGAAGGGGGAGGGATCGGTGAATTTGGTCTTCGAGACCCGAAAGGCGCCCGGGGATATCTGCTCCTCGTGGGGTTGGGGGGGGGGGG